CTGGATGGGGGTGAATTGGGGTGAGCTTCACGAGTTCAATAAGAAAAAAGATTCTATAATAGAGATTTATTATGTATATACATTTCATGCAATATGTAAAATATAATAATATTTATAATAAAAAAAATGTCAAACAAAGCATCTCAATCAAATACACAACAAAACAAATCATCACACGAAATATATTCTAATCCTTACTCTTTTAAACTAATTTTTTTTTTCATTTCAAATTACACTTACACTCGAAATATCACAATCTAAGGTTTCATCGTGCGATACTATTTATATCGTCATTGAGGAGATGCGAAATGGATCCCCACAGCGCATGGATAACATACACATAAAATCTCATATTGGCCACAACAATTACGTTTGCTAGGTGACTCACACTCGCAAACAACTATCTACGTCTGGATTAGATTTCAAACTATATCCATGTGCAGACTCACCATATCCGATGAACTTCAGCCACACACACACACTCCCTTCTTCGATTCAGACTAAACGAGTAGGTATTAAGAGTTCTTACACTGTATACTCTTTTTAAATCTCTATCATTTTCAATTTATTTATTTCATATCTAATATCTTAATTTTTATGCATAATTAAACACAAACACACATAAAATACACGATATCATCACACACATCAAAGCTGTACATTTCAAACTACTTTCTAAATTATCTTGTACGAGATCACACAGCAAGCACAGGATACTCAAATTTCTCGCGCAACTGTACTAGATCACACAGCAAGTACAGCACGTCGTATATCTGCACCAAATCACACAGCAGGTGCAGTGTATCCAATTTTTCTATGTAAAATTCTTTTCTAACTCGATCTACGATTCTTTCGAAAATTCGAATACCGTTTGAATAATTTTTCTATTTATAATAAAAAAATATATATATTAAGTTATAAATAATTTTAAAAACTATATTATACGAAATTATGAAGAGGTTTTACTTTCGGATACGCGATCTAAGTCGCCAGCGTCACCACATGTCATCACACCCGTGTTACTGAAAATGTCCGGCGCTGATGATCGAATCAGCGCGCATTGTCGAATGCGGCTCACCAATATCATATTGGTCGCCACACTTCCAATTTTTTCTTCCTTCATTTTTTTTTCTTTTTTTCTTTTTTTCTCCTTTTTTTCCTTTCTTTTCTTTCATTTTTTTCATTTTTTTCTTTTTTTTTTACTTTTCTTTTCTTTCATTTTTTTTTCTTTCTTTTCTTTTTTTTTTCTTTTCTTTTCTTTTTCTTTTTTTTTTCTTTCTTTTTTTTTCCTCTTTCTCCTTTCCCGCAACTCCTCTTCTTTTTTTTTTATTTCTTCTTTCTTCTCTCTTTCTCGCTCTACCCACCACGTCTCTTCTCTCTCCTATTTTTCTCTTTCTAACGGATGGCGATTCCTTTCCTCTTTCTTTCTCCTTCGATTGCACAACACCGTGCGACCCTTCTCCGGTCAATGCCGCTTGGCCCTCTCTCTTCTCTATCTATTTTTTTTTTTTCTAGTACTTAATTATGTATATCCATATATATATATATATATATTATATGGCCACGTGTTTTTTTCTTCTGTGGATTTTTCTTTTCTTTTTTTTTTTATAGTGTTTTTTCTTTTGTTTAATTATATATATATATATACATATACATATATATATATTCCACAGGTTTTGTTTTTGTTTTTTTTTTTCTTTTTTTTTTTTTGAGCTGGGTATTACAGTAAGGCCACTCAGAGAGTTTTCTCTTTTATTCCCTAGTTTATGTGCTTGATGTGAATGTTCTTTTTTTCAATGAAATAAAATAGAACGCCCTTTTATCTCAATTGTCATAAAACAAATAAAATAGAATAAAATATATTAGTTTTTTATGAACACTAAATAAATTGCAAACATTCTCTAATTTTCTCCTTATTGCAGAAAGTGAAAGAACCTCTTGCCGGTTTGATTTTGGAAAATGGACAATTAGGCAAAAAGCCAAGTTCAGACTAAACTTGCTAAGATCATTAAAAAAAAAACCTCAAATGAATTTGAAAACAGAGATGCATACAAGAGGGCAACAATAAATTCCAACATTATTATTACAAGTAGGACCTGCAGAATCTTTCTTAGAAGCAAATATGGCAAAAGCTTTGATAATTTCTTGCGGTCAATCTTGGAAAAGCAGTGATGGGGGCGACCTTTAGTTTGATCTCCATCTTAGTCTCCTGTTCCGTTTACTGCGTTTGTAGCAGAAACTACAAGACTTAAATAGATTTGGCTGCCAAATATATTCTAAAAATCAAGACTTGTTAAGAGCAACACATTCCCAGTGAACTATAAAACTACATTCAGACTCTGCACATTCAAGTGCCAAATCTGTGCAGGGTTGGCCGCAAGAGTTGCAGGAAGGATACTTCTCTGTCTTCTTCACGAAACGGAGGGAATGTGGGTGAGAATCAATTGTGTAAGTATCTCCAACCTTAATATAAGGATACTTGCCAAAAACACATTCGGGATGAATGGTGACACCGCAATCATCACATGAGTAGAACCAATGATTTGGGTTTCTCTTATCTTCGCATACATCGCATTCAAGCTGATCCGAATCATCCTGGAAGGTGAGTTTCAGAGGATGGTCGTCATAGCTATGCATAGCTGTGAGTGGTAGTGTAGCACATTTGAAATCAAGAACATAGCCACATTCATGGCATCCCAGTCCGTTCTTTTCCAATGCACCACAGCCTTTGCATTCCCGCAATGCAGCTCTGTTGAAGAAGGCAAAGAGACTATGTTCGTGAGCTTGATGGGTAAGAGTGTCCGAAATTGAAGAGCAGCGAAGATCGAGATTAAAACTGCATCTCTCGCAGTTGTAAGAGAAACCATTGGAGTAGATTGAACAGACATTACATGCTAAGACTCTGTTAGAATGAGGTGATTTTGGTTGAAGAGTGAGTGTATGCTGGTGAAATGGGTAAAGCTTATTTCTGGGTAATTCAGCACAAGTTTTATGGAGGAAGAAATCACACCCTTCACAGCTATAAAATGGAGACGAGATGGGTATTCCGCATCCATCACAACCTTTATCATCCTTAACCTCGTTACTGAAAATCAAGGTATGTTCATGGCTGAAATGCTCAATCTCAGCTGCAATCATGTCTTCACCCAGCTTGATTTCCTTAACAACCCTGATTATAGAATCTAGCCTTGCCTCACTGCTCTCCGTATCATCTTGTTCATCTCTTGTTGTGCCATCCCATATATTAGAGCGTGTTGCGCAGTGAACATGGGCAGCATAATCGCATGCTGGACAGTGATAACACCCACGATCTGCCCTCAGACCCTCGTGACAAATCGAACAGCGGCGCCAATCAGACTCACTTTCATGAAGAAAAAAAGTATGTTTGAGAAGATGTTCATGGCGAATTATTCTGATGGTTCTCGGTAATGAAATACAGTGGTTGTGAACTGTGAGGTTGCAGGAGGTGCAAACGTAGGGAGAGTGAGAGCCATCTCGGCCACAAGCATCACAAGAGAATGAGATTTTCTTGCAGAGGAGGGTAAAAGGGTGTTCATGGGTTTTAGATTGAATAACCGGAGGTAAAATTTCAGCACATTTAATGTCAAGGGAAAAGTAACAGAGAGAGCAGTAATAAACCAGGCTCTGCCCACTGCGGCGGCACAAAACACAATCAAGTCCCTGCTGGTAGGGTTGAAGAAGAAGAGGGTGTCTTCGGTGGACAGGATGGGAAATTTCACGGGGTAGCTCTGCACATCTTCTGTGGAGAAAATAGTCACATTGGCTGCAACCATAGCTAGATTCCTTGACTATTGACTCTAGGCAGCCGGAGCAATAGGTATTTTCAGGCCCTTCATAGAAAGTCAACGGATGTGTGTGACTGAAATGATGAAGTTCCATTTCTCTCTCTCGCTCTCTCTCTCTCTGGCTCTCTGTGAGATTCAGATTACCAGTTCTTAGAAGGGTCATTGAATATACAATTATTGATTCTAATAAATAAATTAAAAAAAATACATCACGACGACTTAGACTTCGTTGGATCACTAAATTATTTGGATATAGAAAAAGAGCTATTTGCATTAAATTAAAACCTGTTGATTAACCAACATCAGGATAAGTAAAGCATAAAGATTCTCTTCTCCTCAGGTAAAAAGTTTACTGAAACTGATATCCCTGTCATTATTTTTCTACTCTCCTTATATAAAAATAAATTAAGTTATTATTTTAGTATTTAAATGGCATTTTATATTAGCACTAAAGTTATAATTTTTTATTATAGTTAATTTATAAATTTATAAAATCATTTTCATTTATAATTTTTATAACATTATAAAAATTTTACAAAAAAAAAAAAAAAATAGTTTTGATAGCAATAAAATTAATTATCTTACTATTATGACTATTTACAGACTAGAAGAATGGTAAAAGAAAACTAGCAATAACAACAAAATTACGTTTTGACAACAAATTCAAAGATTAAATTATAACCCAAAAAAAAAAACTCAATTATGATATAATTCATAATTTAAGAACTATATTAGTAATTTAGTCCAAAAAAAATTACGAAGACATTCTTGGTAATCCAATAACTAAAATGATGACATTCAAAAAGGTTTGAAAGGGAGCAAAAAGGACTGAGCCAGACCTTAATTTTAAATGGGTAGGCAATAATACAAACACTGGAGCTACTTTATATATAACAAATACAATCCCACGTTTTAGATATAATACCAAATTCACTCAAGCAGAGACCATTTACCCAACAGGACAATTAAACTACAGTTTATCATCAATCACTAACTTATTGTAACTGTCGTTAGTAAAACAAACACTTTTCAACTGTTTTATTTTTCTGATAGACCTTGTGCCTCTTTTCTTGCTGGGTAGTTGCTGACCAGTTGGCCTTCATGACAGTATTTCCTCGGCATATGACCAAAACTGAGACTAGAAGATTGCCCTAATAGGCACCAATCCCTGTCGAAATTTATCTTCTTAAAGCACCATAACTCTTGGTTACCTACATTAGAAGAGATGTAAGTTTAATCAAGTCTATCTACCTCAACAAGCAGCAAAAAATGCATTAAGACTTAATCTTTGGAACAAATTAAGTCTCAAAAAGACAAAACAAAGTAAAGAATTCATTAATAAGTCCAAATTTAAATTCACATTCCAAACTTAAAAAGTAGAAGAGCAAATTTTTTTTGGTGACCGAACAATTTTCATTTTCATTTGCGTTCTAAATATAAAAAGGTCGAAAAGCAAAAAAAATTTGTGAAATTCATTTTCCTATTACAAAATTTACAATTTCTTAAGAAAATGATTTTTTTTTTGGGAAATAAAAATCTGAAAATCATAACATAAAAAAATGATTATAATAATCCATGAATTAAAATCCCTTCCTCTTGGCAAATGTACAAGATGATAGGCAGATCAACTAACCAATTTTTTCATACATTCATCATTATTAATCGTAGTCCTAGAAAGATTATATTAGATAAACATAAACTCACGTTTAAATGATGCAACTATAAACAATAAAAAGTACCCATAGATATAAAAGGTAAGACTCTTCCTACTTAAGACTCATTGCATTTCTTTTTTTTGTTTGAGTTAAAAAGTAAGGCTTATTGCAGTTTCGTATCAGAATCAAACACAAAGAAAATTTACGTAACAAGATTTCTATCGATGTTTACAGGTTTTACTAAAAATTACTAGAATTCAAAAATTTGTAAGTTTTTCTTTCCATTTGAAGATAGGGAATTATATTAGTATCTTACTTCAACGTGATGAATATATGCACTCTAACATTCAATCAGAGACCGTAGATGATTCATTTTTCTAACATTAATTAAATCATATTGGGAAGAACGATTGATGGTATATTTCACTTAACATTACAGTACTATATATACAGGTTTCTAGAATTAAGAAAAAATAATTAATTAATTATATAAATGTATTTTACCCGTATACTCTTTAATCCAATTTACATTAAATATATATATTTTTTTTTAGATAAAAGTGTAAGGTATGTATTAACGACGTATCAAAAAAGGGGGTACCGCCCATGTACAACCTTATAATGTGGTTAGAGTTTCAACAACATTTCCAAAATCCTTATCACTAATAATATCATGACCTAACATACTAGTTCCGAGATAATAAATCTATATATCTCCTAATTTATACAAGTATAATGTTTTGCCTTCAAAGGCTCTAGAATTCTTCTCTTTTCAAATAATCCAAAAAATAGTCAAATGAATCAAATTAGCAACTTTTCCATTGACACATGTCCCTTTCCAAGCTCATAATTCCCCACAAATAGTCCCGGAGATCACCCAATGAACGTATGTCCATAGATCATATCCCAAAGCCCGTATGTCCCAGGACACCAAAGAAGTGATTACAAGACTCTTCCGCACTCAAAACAGAGATAACAACAATTAACAATGATCTTACCCTTTTTCCTAAGCTTATCAACAGTGAATATACTTTCTCTACAGGCTTCCCAAGCAAAAAAAACAATTCTCGGAGTCACCCTTGCTCTCCAAATCTGTTTAGCCAGGAAATTATGTAAAGCCCTCTCATTTTCACCAGCTGGCTACCTGTAATACGACCCC